TTTTTCTTTCTTCTCGACAATATCGATCTAATAAATTATAAACTGATCAAAGTAACATAAACGAAGGTTTATAATAACTAAAATGTAATAAATTATTAAGTTACTTTGATTTAATTCATTGGATCGATATTGTCGAAAAGAAAGAAGAACGAATTCATTTATTAAAAACTTTTATTTTCTTTGAACATCAACTTGTCGACATATAATTTACTAGTAATTGTGATTTTCTATCTATGCTTAGTATTTATAATTTGTATTGTCAACAATTATATTTAGATACTTTTGAGCGAGGTCAAGAAAAGTTAAAGATGGCTGAAAATATTTCTGACATAAATACTGAGGATGAAGATTATATGAAAAAAACACGGCATGATAGAGCTGCTGCAAATAATTTGACTTCTGACGATGAATCTGTTGATATAGAAGTCGATTCTGGTCTTTTGTCTCCTTTACCAGATCCAAAAGAATTTTCTGGATCTCAAAAATTATGTTATTCGAAAAAACCTGCACTGATTTTGGCAACCTATGAAAATCCGATCATTTCCGAAAAAGACAACATCGTTGTAACTGAAAAGAAAAAACCGAAGATAATTCGACAAGAAATTATTGCTAAACCTAAGAAAAAAGAATTAGAAAATAAAAATCAAAAAGATTTTATCACTAAAGATAATGAAGATTTTATCACCGATGATCATTCCATCGATAAATGTAACAAAGAGTTAACAACACATCAAAATGAAATTAATGGAGATAAATCTCAAAAAGGTTAAATTATATTAATAGACTTTTTAAATACAATATTTTAAAATGTAACTTAATTATGATATTTAAATTTTTAGTGTTCATGGAAATTTTGAGAAAAGTAAATCGCCTCTTAGTTGAAGTAACATACATCGATAGAAGGCTTAGTAGATTAGAAAATAAAATAGACTATATTACAAATAAAGAAATTAATGTAAATAACGTCGAAGAAGCTTTCGTTTTCGACACTATTTCTTCAGTGGATGAACTGAAATTGTTTGAAGAAAATTTGAAAAATGAAAAATTTTTTACGAAAATGGTAAATGTTTATATTTTTATATATAATAATGATAAATTATGTCAAAAGTTATATACAGTTGTGTGTTTTTTTATTTTTATTTTAATAGTTCGCATATTTCATGGCAAATTATTTCAAAAAAGCTTCTTGAAATTGAAAGGCGGATCAAATCTACAAGACATGATAAAAAATACGTTTAAAGCATTAATAAAGGACGAAATATTAATGTTATATAGCTGGAAAGGAGCTCGAGGAAAAAATGCATTCCGAAATTTCAAAATTGTTAGTTTAATCATAGGTAAAAAACTTTAAAGTTCACATCATTATATTTTGAAATTAACTGCTTCTGTTGACTCCTGTGTTTCTTAATACTGATCAGCATAAGACGAATTAATTAAGTATCAATTAGTTATATTATGATCAGCAGAAATAATTGTATTAGAACACAACGTTAAGTCATTAGCGTTAATCACATTAGCGATTGAAATTGAGATTGAAATGAAATTTGACCATCAGAAGAAAAAAAACTAATATCAAGTTCAATAAATTTTGCTTTGGTCAAATCTCAATTTTAATCGCTAGTGTTATTACAGCTTAAGTCAATGTATAATATTATAAATTGATATTTGTTCATAGCTGTTGTTCGGTTACATAACGCAAATTCAACTGAGGAAGGTATAATAAAAGTTATGACAAACTGGATAGTTCAAGCTCCTGCACGTGTTCGAAGAATAGCGTAAGTGAACTACTTATTATATTTATTTTTGTTTAAAAATATTAATAGTAATTGTAACAATTCTCTGTAATATCAGTTAAGGTGTTTTTTTTAATATCTATTCCTAATAATCTTTTATGTTATCTATTTTTTAATTATATTAAAGGTACACATATTCAATCAAATATTAAAACATTTATTGTATCTTGCAATTATGGTTTTTTCTACAAATTTTAATTATTTATATTTTTTGTATTTTTATATATATATATATATATATATATACATATAAAACTGTATTACATATTAAATATTACATTAATTGATTGTTTCAGAAACAAACAGAAAAACCAAAATAATCAGGATGATCTTGATCATCTTGATCAAGTTCAAGTTCCAGATGTTCAAGAAGAAAATATTAATATATAAGAAAATCTGCGTACGTTATATCATCATAGCTTCGTCTTTTGTGTTTATTGTTATTCAGGTATTTTTCTTTATTTACTATAACGAAAAGACGTAACATATATAAATGTTTTGTTTTTCAAGTTTATGTAATCTTAAATCTTATAATGATTAAATTAATTTATGCGTTGAAAATGCTACAAAGTATTTTATTTGCGTTAAATCACGAAAATGTAAAAATTAGTTTAACTTTTGTTTTTAAAAATGCTAAAAGGTATTTTATTTGTGTTAAAACATTATACAAATGTAAAATGAGTTTAATTTTTTTGTTTTTAAAATGTTAAAACGTTCCATTTTTGTGTTAAAATAATATTGAACAATTTGTATTAAAAATACTGTATCTATAAAAATACCGTGTGTTATATGTTTGCATTTATTCCAAACCTTTTATTTTATTTAGTTTTAGAAACAAATAAAATATTAAGTTTACAGTAATAAAAATGCTTTATATTACTTTATATTATAACATATTTCCAAATGCTCATACTAACATTTTAGAAATATATTATTAGTACAAATATATTTTTATTACTTTAAACTTAACATTCATTAATAATATAATTATTTAATAATATATGTATGAATATTATTTATACATATATGTATAATATGTACATGATATATATATATATATATATATATATATATGTATATGTATAATATATATGTATAGTATGGATATGTGAC